GCTCATGGTGGCTTACAACCACCTATAACCCCGGTTCCAGGGGACCTGCTGACACCCCCTTCTGGGCTCCTGGCACTAGGCACATGTGTGATGCACATAGACATGCATGTGTGTGGTACAACACTTAAAACACACACACACACACACACACACACACACACACCACAGATCTAAAAAAATACTTAAGAGTTCAGAGATGGGAGAATGGGTGTTTTTATCCCTGCAGGTGGATCTCTGAGTTCCAGGCTAGCCTGGTCTACAGCCTGTAGAGTTCTAGTACAGCCGGGGCTACACAGAGAAATCCTGTCTCAAAAGAAGAAATCTCAAGTGCCTGGCTGAGTCAGGGGCATCGGTGAAGGAGTAACGGGAACATTCCAAACCTCCTCTCCCATGAGGTCCTTTCATTCCATCACCCCGACCACTCTTCTGGGAAGTTCGCCATTTCGTCATTTTAAGGACTTCCTTGGTTTTTGTCTCTCACTCACCATTTAGCAAAGTAAGTGGGTAGTCATAGGAGTCTCATCCATCCAAACCGACTCTGCCCTCCCTTCCTCCTCTCTAGCGGTGGGATTTCCATCCTACTTGCAAACCTTTGTACAGGCTGTTCCTGGTCTTGTAATTCAGAATAACTCTATAAAGTCTGCTTCCTTCTTCCCCCACCCCAGGAATACACACCTTGTATTAGAAAGAAGCTACTGGCAGAGGCTTGGTGGAGTGCTAGCCAGCCCTGGGTTCAATTCCCAGTGCCATGTAAATCAGGTGTGCTGTAATCCAGGCATAGTGGCACATACCTGTGGTCTGAAGACAGGAAGAGGAGAAGTCCGAGGTCACCCTCTGCTACATGCTGAGTTGAAGGCCAGCCTGAGAAACATAAGATCCTGTTTTAAATAAATAAGGGTTTCTTCTTCTTCTTCTTCTTCTTCTTCTTCTTCTTCTTCTTCTTCTTCTTCTTCTTCTTCTTCTTCTTCTTCTTCTTCTTCTCCTTCTCCTTCTCCTTCTCCTTCTCCTTCTCCTTCTCCTTCTCCTTCTTCTTCTTCGACTAAAGTGTTGGGGCTGGAGAGATGACTCAGTGGTTAAGAGCACTTGATGATCTTACAGAGGACTTGGGTTCAGTTCTCAACACCAACATGGTAGGTAACAGTGGCTATTAACTCCAGTTCCAGGGGATCCAACACCTTCTTCTGGCCTCTTCAGGCATACATACCTGTAGGCAAAACACTCATACACATAAAATAAAGTAAATCTAAAATAAAGTAAAAAGAAATAAGTGATCTGTAAGCTGAGGATGGTGATGCATACCTTTGATCCCAGAAGGCAGAGGCAGTCAGATCTCTGTTTGTTCAAGGTCGGCCCGGCCTATATAATGAGTTCTAGGCTAGCCAGGGCTACATAGAGAGACCCTGCTTTAAAAAAAATTGAATTGCAGGGCAGGTGGTGGTGGCACACACCTTTGATCTTCAGCACTTGGAAGGCAGAGGCAGGTGGATCTCTGTGATTTTTGAGGCAAGCCTGGTCTACATGTGAGTTCCAGGACAGCCAAGGCTGTTACACAGAGAAAGCCTGTCTGAAAAAACCAGACCAAACCAAAAAAAGAATTATAGATGATACCCCTTTACTATTCAGCATTTCAACAGATTGATCCTAAAATTAAAGCTATTCTCTAACATCACAATGCTATAATATCTATAGCCAAGAAAATTAACAATTCGCAATATAATCTGGTATTCAGTTGTGAAAAAAAATGTAAGATGCCAAGATCAAACTGGAGTTGCTGCTCAGCTCTCATTGATACACGAAGGCAGGAGGCTATGAAGGAAGGGCTTGTACTATCACATGTGCTGCCAGAAACAGGCTGGCAGGCGCCACCTCAAGCTTGCACAAAAAGTACTCTGCAAGCACATCCAAGTGTCCAGCCTTAGACTGAAGCCACTCTCACTGTTAGTCACTTTGGCAACAGGTTATTACTTTAACCATGTATGATGGTGCCCCAGGAGGTTAGAAAAGGATGTTGGATCCCTTGGAACTAGAGTCTCAGATGTTTGTGAGCCACCACATGGGTGATGGGAACCGAACACATGTCCTCCGACAGAGCAGCAAGTACTCATAACCATTTGACCGGCTCTCCCATTCCCTAAATTCTTTCTTTCTTACTGATATATTCAGAGATCAGGTCCCACTATGTAGCCTAAGCTAGCTTGGAACTCGCTCTGTAGACCAGGCTAGCCTCTACATGACAGAGATCTGCCTCCAAGTGCTGGGAGTAAAGGTGTGGGCCATCTCCCCCAGTTCACCTTCTCTCTACGTTGGGAACGCTCCTAATAAAAACCAAAGTTGCTGGCATTAAGAGCAAGTGGCACCACTTCAGGCACAAGTCACTTTCAAGGGCTCGGAAGAAAACAAGGAACTTCACACATGCCCAGAAGAGGGTAAGGCAAACAGCACTGGTGAATGAGCCCAGGAGAATCAGGGTTTTTGTTTGTTTGTTCGTTTGTTTGGGTTAGTTGGTTTGGTTTTCAAGACAGGGTTTCTTTGTGAAAACAGTCCTGCTGTCCTGGAACTCACTGTGTAGACCAGGCTGGCCTTGTACTTACAGAGATCTGCCTGCCTCTATCTCCGGAGTACTGGGATCAGAAGCATGTGCCACCACCGCTCCCCCCCCGTTCGTTTTTTTCTTGCTTTCTTTTTTATTTTTATTTTTGGGGTGGGGTGGGGTGGGGACAGGGCCTCTTTATGTAGTCTTAAATGAATGATGCTGGGATTAAAGGCACGTTGACATCCAGGGCTGCTCACTTTTTTCTCAATGTTGGGAGTGTGTGTGTGTGTGTGTGTGTGTGTGTGTGTGTGTGTGTGTGTGTGTGTGTGTGTGTGTCTGGCAAGATGGCTCAGCAGCTAAGCCTACCTTCATGAGTTCCATCCCTGGGACCCTGCAGAATACGAGAGATCCAACAAGTTGGCCTCTGACTTTCACACTAGTGGCTTCCACATCTCACACAAAATAAACTTCCAAACAACAACAGGAGTAGAAGAGGATTTAGTGGTGACTCATGGTGCTGTGTGGCCTCGGGTCGTTTCCATGTCTCTCTGGCCTTTATTTCCTTACCTATAAAACAGGCCTAAAAATGCTATCTTCCCTTTCCACCTGGATTAAAGATGTGCATGACCTGGGCCTGCTGGGCAGGGGCTGAGGGTGCTGTGCCTATGTTTGTGTGTCTGAGGCAGACTGCTGCGTGGATTTGCGGGAGGCCCTCGATCTCCCCGGGACTCCCTTTCCCCACCTCCGGTCGTCTGGACGCTGACGAGCCCAGCTCCTGGAGTGACCCCGGAGGGGTGGGCGGGGCTTGCGCTGTTGATTGAAGCGGAGCCGACCAATCAGGCAGCAGAGGTCAAAACTGGCGCCAGATGCAGAAGCGCGCAGCTGCTGACAGGTCGGGGCGCGGGGAAGTGGAGGCGGGGCTGCCCACTTAGCTCTGCCCGCTCGGCGGGAGGAAGAGTCTCTGCGAGATTGCCATCCGGGAGGAGAGAATGGCGGCGACCTTCCGCCCCCCCCCCCTTTCTTCAACGGATGGGGGTTATTTTACTAGTCAGGACCTCATTTGTGCCGAGGACACCAGGAGTTAGAGCAACCAAAGGCGGCCCTCGCATACTGATAACTGAAAAGTAGAATATGATATATATGTATATATATGTGCATATATTTATATACATATTTGCTAGAGGTGATAATGGCACCAGACCATTAACAAAAAATATTTAATATTTATCGATAATGGCTGGCCCATTACCATGGAAGAAGTCCTGGGTTTTGTCCCCAGCACCACATAAATTGCTCACTTGTGATGCCGGCACGTGGGAGGGAGAGACGGGAACTTTGGGTCAAGGTCATCCTGAACTTTATGTGGAGTTTGAGGCCAGTCCAGGACATTAAGATGGTTTTGAAGGGGGCTGGGGAAGCCGGTTGTTTTGGGGATGGATACTGGCGCGTGCGTTTGTGTGACTGACGACGTTTGTTCTACGTATTTATATCTTAGTAGTAGCTGCAGAGAGAGCAGCCGGTGGGGCAGGCAGTAGCAGAGCTGCCTACCTCAAGTTTGAGCTGCCCTTTTTTGTTCAGTGACTTTCCACCACATACGCAGTTCGAGAACTAGCGACACAAGCCGCGGGGAGCCTCCCTCACCCCCGAGGGTGTCCGTCTCTTCCCGGGATCTCAGCGTTCCCTTTTCTGCATTTATCTCTGGAATCTTGGTGCCCTTCCCCAGGGCGAATCAGAAAGCCAGCTACAAAACCAGATGAGAGCGGGAGTTCCTGTCTCCACCCTCACCACAGGAATTTTTCAAATTCGTCTTCCGACTACTGGACCCAGCCCAGAGAGTCGTAAAATGAACGTTTGACTCGTAATCATCCTCTGAACGTTCTGGATTTTTTTTTTGTTCGACTTGCAACTTTTAAGACAAGTGGGTCACGGGGGACACACGGCTGACACTATACCCATAAGCTGTCCCCGTGCCCCTTTAGTGAGCTTGAAGGCTTGCAACTCCTTTTTACGGGAACCCTCGTTTAAGGACCTCCATGGCTGGGGGACCCCGAATCTTTAAGAAACCAGGTCACGAGATTGGAATTGCGGGGCTCGGCAGCTCCCCACTCCCCAGACTGCTCGGTCCTAGCCGGATTCCCCGCACCCCCACCCTAGGGACGCAAAGACAGTCAAGGCAGCGTTTGGCCAGCCCTGGCACCGACCTCGGCGACGACGCCCCATGCTCTCCAATGGGCGAGCCCCTCGCAACCCCAAACTGTTCCGGCCCCGCGAGCGCCCGCGCGCCCGGGAGGAGGCGCAGACTCCCTGCAGGACTTTTGTGCGGAAGGCCGGCGGCGGGACCCAAATCTCCCGCGCTCGCACGTCAGTGGGGCTAGCGGCGGCCAATGGGAAGCTCCGGTGGGCGGGGCCGGCGCCGGCCACGCCCCCTCCCCCGCGCGCGCCTCCGGCGGGCCTTTTAAAAGGTGCCGCGGGGGTCGTCGCCGGCGCTCCTGGTTCCGGCTGCTCCTCTCGCTCTCCGCCGCTCCGGCCGCTGCTCTCGCTCGCCATGTTCTCCGTCCGCGCCCCTCTCGCCACCATCGCCGACCAGCAGCAGCTGCAGGTGTCGCCGCTGAAGCGCCTCAACCTGGCCGACAAGGAGAACACGGTGAGCTCGCGCCCCGGGCTTCGGGTTGCGCGCGGTGGGGGTGGGGGCGTCTGGCAAGGTGTGGGTTCCCGGACCCCGGGAGGAGGGCGCGGGGCTCCCGCCGGCGCTGACGCACGCGCCTGTGTCCCTGCAGCCCCCGAGCCTGAGCGAGACCCGCGTCCTGGCCAGCAAGGTGGCGAGGAGACTCCTCCAGGACGCCGCCGAGCCGGTGAGTGAGTGGCCCGTGTGAGGCGGAGGTGGGTGTCCTCGGGGCTGCCAGCAGAGGGCGTCCTCCGTTGGCGCCAAAGCTGCATTGTCCCAGCTGTCTGTCTGCCTCTCCTCTTTCCCGCCAAAGTGTCTCCTGAGAATGTCCTCCCTGGGTCGGCCGCCCCGTTAGGAGGGTAACAATGGCATGCGGTGTGACAGCGATCCGCACGAGGAACTGCCAGCCGCTGAAAAGTACTTGATGTGATGGGAGACACTAGCAAGCCCCTGTGGTTGACTGGCATTTTGGGGGGTGGCTTTTTCTCACCCCGCAGGAGAGTAAAGCGTCTCCCAACCCCAGCGTGGAGGACGAGCCCTTACTGAGAGAGAATCCCCGCCGCTTCGTTGTCTTCCCCATCGAATACCATGACATCTGGCAGATGTACAAGAAAGCTGAGGCCTCCTTCTGGACGGCTGAGGAGGTAATCCGTCGTTCAAGGACTTGGGGTGTCCCCAGGCCCCTGCATGGCCATCCTAGCTGGGATGTGCCTAGATCAAGCTCGGGAATGGTTGCTCACAGAGGTGTGGGTCTTTTTGTGAGCAGAGGGAATTCTGGATGTGAGGGAAGGTCAGCATATGGTGTGGGGACTTTCGTTTTAAGAGTGTGTGTGAGCGCGCATGCACATGCCTACGTGATGGAGAGAGGAACTCCTGGTAAAACTGTAAACTTTTAAACTTCAGGTGGACCTTTCCAAAGATATTCAGCACTGGGAAGCTCTGAAACCCGATGAGAAACATTTCATATCTCATGTTCTGGCCTTCTTTGCGGCCAGTGACGGCATAGTCAATGAAAACTTGGTGAGTTTGTGTGACATACCTGTAATTCAGTTAAAGACCTGTGTGATTTTTATCTTCTGCTGTGAATGGAGGCTGGAGAGGTAACTCTGCTACAAGGTTAACACGCTTCCTGCCTGTCGTGAGTGTCCATATTGGGAGCCTTCACATCTGCTTGGTACATCTGCTCCAGGGGATCTGACTACTCCCATTGGCCTGTACATGCGCATAACCAAGTAAAGGCAGACAGACACAAGTAAAATAGTCTTAAAGAACTGTGAATGTTAGTATTCATCTTAGTTTTTCCTGTTAAGTTGCAGTGATAAGTTTTCTCTTTGTACCTACCACTTATCTTTTTGTGTGGCTTTCTATAATAATTTGGTTGCATATTTCTTTATAAGTGGATTAACTAAAAGAGAATGATTGAATAATAAAATGTTAGGTCCTGTGGAGCCCGGAGAGAGGCTTAGAGGTTAAGAGCACTTTAACTCAATTCTCACTGGGTCTGGTGCAGTGGACATACATGGCAGGTAAAACACTGTGCAATTAAATAGTCTTAGACTGGACAGTGGTGGTGCATACCCAGAGGCAGGCGGATCTCTGAATTCAAGGCCAGTCTGGTCTACAGAACGAGTTCCAGGACAGCCAGGACTATTGCACAGAGAAACCCTGTCTCATAACTCAAAATTAACAGTTTGTTAAAAAACCAGAAAAGGGCCAGGCATTGGTGGCTCATGCCTTTAATCCCAGCACTTGGGAGGCAGAAACAGGGGGATCTCTGTGAGTTTGAGGCCAGCCTGGTCTACAGATTGAGTTCCAGGACAACTTCAAAAGCAATACAGAGAAACCTTGTCTTGAAAAACTAAAAAGAAAACAGAAAAAAACCAAAGCAAAACAAAACCCCAGAAAAATAGGAGTTATATATTTCCTGATGGTAAGTTGAACATTGACATAAAATAATGAACTTTATTGCAGAGTTGGAGCAAACTTGTTTTTTGTTTTATATTTTTGAAACAAATTCTTACTAATCCTGGCTGGCCTAGGACTCAGTAAATGGACCAAGATGGCCTCATACAAAGATTTCTGCTTGCTGGTGCCTGAGGGCTGGGATTAATCCCAGCAAGCTCAAAGGGGAAGAAGGTGATGCAATTAGTAGTTTTTTCAGGTTTTAACTTTGGTTTATTTTATTACCACTAGGTGGAGCGATTTAGCCAAGAAGTTCAAGTTACAGAGGCCCGCTGTTTCTATGGCTTCCAAATTGCCATGGAAAACATACATTCTGAGATGTACAGTCTCCTTATTGACACTTACATTAAAGATTCCAAGGAGAGGTGGGTATTCGTGTGGTATGCTAAGATACTCAGGACTTACTTCAAGTATTTTTGTTCATAAAGGGAACCTAGGCAGAATGACTAGGACTGTAGCTATTTCTAGTGCCCTTAATCGTGATTGCCTCTGAGCCAAGGGCACTCTATTAGTTACTCACTGAAATAAGATTCAGTGTGTGGTAGCTCATGCCTGTAATCCCAGAGACCAGCCCCAGCATTGCCAAGAATACAAAAGCTAGCCAGATGAGATACTGCCTCTAAAACCAAACCAACCAGGGCATGGAGGGATGACTAAGTCGTTAGGAGCGCCGGTGGCTTTCAAATGACCTAGTTTTGGTTCCTTGCCCCCACTTAGTCGGGTTTGGGGCAGCTCACGACTTTTAACTCCAGTTACAGGGAGATGTGATGCCCCCTTCTGGCCACCGCAGGTATTACATACATCTGGTACAAAGGCATATTCAGATATAACACTCATACATAGAAATAATTTTAAAACGTGGCTTCTGGGCAGGAGAGATGACTCAGCGGCCAAGAGCACTGACAACTCTTCCAGAAGACCTGAGTCCAATTCCCAGCAACCACATGATGGCTCACAACCATCTTAGTGGGATCTGAGGTGCCCTCTTCTGTCGTGCAGGTGTATGTGCAGATAGAGCACTCAACATGTCTCACAAATAAATACATAGATAAATAAATAAAACGTGGCTACAAATGGTTGTAAAAAATGAAGTAGAAATGGGGGGGATTGCCCACTCTTGACAATACTGAGTGAAGAGATTAACTTTAGACCAGAGTGAAATCTCTCTCCCCACTAGGGGATTACAGGAAAATAAAGAAGGCTTTTACGAGGCAGGCGTTGGTGGTACACGCCTTTAATCCCAGCACTTGGGAGGCAGAGGCAGGCGGATCTCTGTGAGTTCGAGGCCAGCCTGGTCTACAAGAGCTCTAGTTCCAGGACAGCCTCCAAAGCCACAGAGAAACCCTGTCTCGAAAAACCAAAAAAAAAAGAAGGCTTTTATGTTATGGGGGTAGAGGGTGGAAAGTCAGGGTTAGCGTGGCCACTCAGCCCCAGGGTGGAGAGGTGACGTGGGAAGAAGCGATTGGGCCTACACTGCAGCTGCTGTGCTGCCGCCGGGGGTCTGTGGCATCATAGCTCATGCTGCACTTCTGCCTCCAGGGAGTATCTCTTCAATGCTATTGAAACGATGCCCTGTGTGAAAAAGAAGGCTGACTGGGCCTTGCGCTGGATTGGGGACAAAGAGGCTACGTATGGTAAGGGCACTTTGTTCCCTCCTGAAGCCCCGCACTTTGACTTGTCCAAGTAATGCCACCGGGTTGCCGGCCCACACTAAGAACACCAGGCCCTCACTGGGATCCTTTTGGCGTTGCCTCTTCTAGGAGAGCGCGTTGTGGCCTTCGCTGCCGTGGAGGGGATCTTCTTCTCTGGCTCCTTCGCGTCAATATTCTGGCTCAAGAAGCGGGGACTGATGCCGGGCCTTACCTTTTCCAATGAGCTTATCAGCAGAGACGAGGTGAGTCCTGAATAACTGGTCTGCGGCTCCCAGCTGCGTGCTCTCGTATCCACTGACAGGGACCTGAGAGAGGAGGCATAGCCAACCTCAAAGCAAGCATTCCTTGTGCCTGAGTGTTGCCTGTGGAGGACAAAAGGGAAGGAATGTGGTATGCCCAACTGGAGTTACGGATGGTTGTGTGTGTGTGTGTGTGTGTGTGTGTGTCCGTCCGTGTGTCCGTCCGTCTGTGTAGGTGGTGGGAACTGAGTCGGGCTCCTTTGCAAGAGCAGTAGATGCTCCTCGTGACTGCTGAGCCATCTCAAGTCTTGGGAACCCAACCCAGGGTCTCATGCTTTCTAGGCAATTATTCTGCCACTGAGCCACATTCCCAGCCCCGTATCCACTACAACTCGGCAAGGAAGAAAATACCTTAAGTGACGTATTGAAACTACCCGTGTCCTGGTACATATTCCTATTGTCCTGCAGGCTTGAGTGCCAAAGCTGAAAGCTCTGAATGGAATTTTTAGGGTATCACAAGCGATCCTTTGTGTGTCTTTGTGCTTCCAAGTTAAATTGGTAAGGCCTCTGAGCTGAGAGTTCCCTTGGGCTCCTGTAGCTGCTTGAAATAGACTGAGGAAAGATAGGAGGGGCAGGCACCCGACCACCCCTGGAGCTAGTGGGCAGGCAGGCAGGGAAGGTGAATGTCTCCCTGAGACTTACTAGATCGTGCTGTGCTGAGTCACAAGTTTACTTCGTTCGAAACCATCTAATTCCTTCCTGAGCATGTAAATGCTAAGTGATCCTCCTTGTTACAAGCTGTGGAGAAACCTGAGCAAAGATTGGGGTATCAGAAGCGTATAGGCCTATTCCTATGCTGTAGTAGGTGGTAGCTTTGAGGGCCTTGATTTGGGATAGCCCGCTCCTTGGCATCACAATTGGCAGTAAACACCTGTTTAACTGTAACAGCCTGTTCTTAACAGCCCTAGCTCTCCTAGAACTCACTCTGTAGGCCATGCTGGCCTGGAACTCAGGGACCTGCCTTCCTGTCTCCCCCAAGTGCTAGGATTAAAGGCCTGCGCCACCATGCTCAGGCCACCTGTTTTATTTCCCTGGATTTTGTTGTTGCCGTATTGTTTAGTGTTTTGCCAGGCTGCAGTCTAGCTGTTCTGGAACACTGTAAAGTCATGGGTGTCATTCATGCAGGTATATACCGCTGTACCTGGCTTAAATACCTTTCTTTGGACAAGCCAAATACTCCCATGTGGCCAGACAAGTTGCGTGAGACTGCAAAGATGGATAAAGCAGTTTTCGTCCACACGTGTAAACAGTGGGAGTCTTCCACCTCACCGTGATCTTGAACTTTGCCTTCCAGGGCTTACATTGTGACTTTGCCTGCCTGATGTTCAAGCACCTGGTACACAAGCCGTCGGAGCAGAGAGTACGAGAAATAATTACCAACGCAGTGAGGATAGAGCAGGTGGGTGACGTGTGTGGGTGGTTGTTGCTCTTGCTGGAAGGGGGGGGGGTCCCCGGGGCTTCAGGGTGCTGAAGCTTTGCTTGGCCTCCAGGAGTTCCTCACGGAGGCCTTGCCCGTGAAGCTCATCGGGATGAACTGCACTCTGATGAAGCAGTATATCGAATTCGTGGCAGACAGGCTTATGCTGGAGCTGGGGTTCAACAAGGTATGGCCTTCCCTTCCCCCCCTCCCTTCTTCCTTCTTCCCTTCCCCACCTTTTTTTTTTTTTTTTTTGTAGCTTGTTTTCAGCATTTATGTCTTGATGTTCCATTTCAGATTTTCAAAGTAGAAAATCCATTTGACTTCATGGAAAATATTTCATTAGAAGGAAAGACAAACTTCTTTGAGAAGCGAGTAGGCGAGTATCAGAGGATGGGGGTGATGTCGAATTCAACAGATAATTCTTTTACCTTGGATGCAGACTTCTAAGTAAGCTGACTGCTCTTTGCGGATCGTTTTTCTCGCCTTGTCAAAAACAGCAAAAACAACTGGCTACACCATGAATTGCCATTAAATTTGTAAACCGGTGTCTAAAATCTGTGTAGCTACCTCAGTGGGTCGGTCCTTTTTCTTTTGCTAGCTGTGTTTAAACAAGGTACTTGGATTCTTAGGGGAGATCCTGGCCTTGGCTTTTGTGAGTAGTGTGGTCACCTTTGGCCTCCAAGCACTAACAGCGGCATCCATCCAGGCTTTGTGAGAGGCGACCCTCCAGCCAGCCGGATTAAGCATTTAGTTGCCACAAAGCTGTTTAAAGATGTCAGCCTCATTCACCACTGCCTGCGGACTCTCTAGAGTTTACTTAACAAGTTTGTAAATAGAACTGGCACTTTGCACACAAACATAGTACTGTCGAGGGGAAGAGACCAAACACCAAGTGTTCTGTTCACCGCCGATGGCAGCTGATTAACATGTAAGTGACTCAGAAGTGAGTGAGGAGGCACATCGTTTCCAAGCTCTGTTCTTCAGTGGATTGAAATGCTCCTTCAGCAGCTTTGAGGTCAAAACTGTGTGATCTAGGCATTAGCCCGCTGGTGCTAGTCATGTACACAGTGTGCCTGACCCCATGGATCAGGGCATCTCCCGATTCATAGAACCTCCAACTTGGAGTCACTGGAAACTTGGGCAGGATTTGGGACGCTTGGCCCAGGCCCAGTCTCCCATTTGTCTGAAAAGCAGTAGTTATTTTTTCTCCCCCCAAGTTGTACTTTGCCCCATTTCTAGTTAGTGCAGAGTCTTGAAAGGTAAATAGGGTTTTCAATAGTGACCTGTTCATAGTCTTGATTTTTGTCAGTGGTAAAGCCAGGGCTGAAGTCGGCTCCTAAAAGAAGCTGGATATTTTAGATTGTGTTGAACAGGTACGATTGAAATTTCATCCACTTACATTGTCTTTTATTGGGGTTTACCTGGTTTATGTTTTATTTTCTTAATTGTTCAGTATTATCTTGAAGTTTGCAAATGCTAAGATAGTACTGTAAATTCTGGAATTTGCCTAAATTTGAGTGTCACGTGGTAGTTTTTTTCTTTTTTTTAAGACTGGGTCTTTAAAAAACTGACTAGTCTTAGAACTTGTGTAGACCAGTTAAGCCTCTCAGACTTGCCTATGTCTCCCAAATACTGGTATTAAGGTTTGTGCCACCATGCCTGAATTCCTAAACCAGAAACCAGTACTGTATGGGCTGTTTTGTATGTCCATTCACATTCTTGTCAGACCAATAGATACAACTAACAGCAAAATCTGCTTTTATGTGCATTGTTAATCTGTTTGTGTTTAGGAAACAATCCATTATTCACCTGGTGAGTTTGAGGCCAGTTGGAGGTTACATAAGAGGAACTGTCTTAAAAAACCAAAACAAAAGTAAGCATGGTTGATACTTGGAGTAACTCCCATTGGTCTCTTAACCTCCTTGTTAACTGATGCTGATGTGTTCCAGCTGTTTAACCCTTGATCCGTTTTCTTTATTGTATACATTTGTAATATGAGATGCTTTGTACCTATTAAATTATTGTTACCTAAAATTAATAAACTCAATTGCGTGGCATACGAGTGTTATAATTTAACTGAGACTGATCTCCACATCGGTTCTTTGGGTAAATTTTTTTTAAGATTTAGTTATTATGTATACAGTGTTCTGTCTGTATGTATGCAGGCCAGAAAGAGGGCACCAGATCTCATTATGGATGGTTGTGAGCCACCATGTGGTTGCTGGGAATTGAACTCAGGACCTCTGGAAGAGCAGTCAGTGCTCTTAACCTCTGAGCCATCTCTCCAGCCCTCTTTGGGTAAAATTTACATTTTGATTTTAGAAAGTTTGTCATTGAGGCTAAGGGGCATATTTGCTCTTTGTCAGCTCTGGGAGAGATTATCCTCTTCTTACATAGGATGTGTAGGGGATAGATAGACCCTGGGCCTCTGTGTATGTCTATAGCCCAGGCTAGCTTCAGCCTCTTGGGATTGTAGGTGTGTAGTCATGCCTGACTTGGGGGGTTGGGGGCATCTCCCATAAGCCAGGATGACCTTGAATTTCTGATTCTGCCTTTAACTTCAGGTGTTGAGCGTGCACCACCACCACACAGCGTGACGTTGAGTTTATTATCCTGACAACCATGGCTAGGCCACTCTCATCTCAGCTTCCAGCTGCAGGGCCTCCAAGAGGGAGCCTGGCGCTGCTGCGCCCTCCAGCTAGTGTGACTCGGGGTTCAGGCTAGTGCTCACACCTTCAGCCTCCGTGAACTCATACTGTCACACCAGCTATTCCTGAGGGCCGGGTCACTGCTGTGCTGTGGGTTCACTTACCCGCTACCTTTTTTGTTATGTTTTCGAGACAGGGATTCTATCCAGCTTTGAACCTTATCCTGGAACTCTAGACCAGGTTGGCTCTGAACTTGGAGAGCTCTATCTGCGGGCCTCTGCCTCTTGAGTGCTGTGGTTAGAGGCCTGCACCACAGTTGTTTTGTTGGGCTCTTTGGGGCTTTGCTGTGGAGCCCATGCCTCAGAAGTCCCTCCCTGGGGAACTTGGCTGAGTGAGTGAATCTGGTATCTAAGGAAGCCATATTGTAAAGGGGTAAAGAATGCCACGTCTTTGGAGGTGGTCTGGCTCCTGCCCTTGAACAGTCCCTTTCCTGCTTCTATGAGCTCAGCTCATCTGCACTGCCTAGCATGAGACCTTCAAGATGAGTGACAGCTGAATGAGAATGGAGGCTGTCAGCTCCCTGGGAAACCAGGGTGTGGGCAGACCCACTGGGGGACAACAGGCTACTGCTTTGAGAAGATCCATTGTCAGTATCAGCTTTGCAGTGGGCAGACCTGGGTTTTATTTCTCCTGCTGCCCCATAATGTCCTTGTCCACTGCTGTCATAGAACAAATCTTAGGTCACAGGAGGAGGGCCTCAACTGGACTGGCCTTGGGTGCACCTGGGGAGACCATGACAGACAGCTCAACCTGTGAGCTCTTAGGCCTCTGGATCTGGAAGAAATGGGCTAGCTGGCATAAGGTTCAGACAAGGAGCTATCAGTGGGATGTGCACCAATCTCAATGTGTTATGGCTTTGTGCAAGCTCCCGGCAAGCTTCTATAAGGCTGTATTTCATTGCATGGGAACAAATGGAGGCCTTTCTGGTCTGAGGTGGAGCCTGCCTGCTGAGAGCAGATCTGTGAAACCTTGCTCTTCTCTGCGTCTGCCAGGCATCGCCATGGCCATTAGGAGTAGTCGCTTTTCGTGAAATGGAAGCAAGATTTGCTAATACCATTTGTGTGAGGGGCTCCCTGGCTCTCTCAGTGTTACTGGGGACCAGTGGCTCTACTGATACAGCCTGGAGCTCTCGATAACGGTTTTGCTTAGCAGGGTGTTCCAGGCAGGCCTTGAACGTAAGTGGCTGCAGGGGGTTGTGTGGCCTCTAGATGAGGCAGCCTCCAGCGTAGACTCCATCTTGGTGTCTGGGCATCACAGACAGGATGCAGCTGTGTTCCCTCCCCCATAGTGATGGGCAGCCCTAGGTTTGCTTTGCACTTCTTAGGGTTGGTCTGGCAGTTTCTAGACGGAAATGAAGATGTTAGATTTTATTTCTACGAGGTCACTCAGAATGTGAGAGATAGCCACATGTGACAGGTGGCAGGGAGAACATGAAGCCCCTCCCCCCACACTATTTGACCATTTTGCATTACAAAAACAAAACACTGGTTTGTATGTGACGTAACTTCTGAGGGGGTTTCCCACTGGATCCCAAAGCTGCGGCCTTCAAAGATTCTAGTTGCCCCTTGGTAGGGTAGGGAAAGGGACATTGGAAGAACTTGGGGTCCGTACCTTCCTGTTTTCCCTGATGATCGTTCTGGCCAGAAAAAGAAGCACAGGATCTTCTCTTCCAAGGAGTTTCTGGGGTGCTGACCCGCTGGGGCCCCTGGGGAGTTAGGAGTCAGAACTCTGAGGAACACGATGGTCTTCCGCTGGTTGTCATCCTCCATACCCTCCCCTCTTTCACTGTGAGCGAGGGTCTCTCACTGTGTCCCTGGCTGGCCTGGAACTCTGGTAGACCAGGGTGGCCTCAGACTCTGATCCGCCTGCCTCTGCTTCCCGAGTGCTGGGGTTAAAGGCGTGCGTCAGGACGCCTGAATTAGGGATGTCTCACTCACCTGCTGCCCTCTCTTAGATCTCCTTTCTTCCACCCCTGGGTCTTCGCCATGCCGCCATGAGGTTGCTGGGCCAGGCAATAGGGCTTGAAACCACTTCCTAGTCGGCTCCTGCCGCTCGTAGGTGACCAGGAGGCTGCACCTTGGCTCTGGGGTACTTCTGCCACTACGTCATCCCAGCTGTCACCGCGTTGTTGTCAGTACGTGGTTACAAGGAGTGTTGGGCCTGATGTCCTGCCCGGGAGGAGGCACTGGCCCCAGGTGGCACAACCTCCATCATTCCTCAGGCGAACAGTTTGGATGCCCCAAAGGGAAGTAGACCAGGCTGGAGTCACCGTCTCTACAATTTGCTAGAATGGTCCCCATTTTTCTCCATACTTTCAGAGTGGGTGTCCCACAAGCTTGACCCAAACTGCACCCCAGTTCTGCTGAGCTCTCATACCCTGTTTCCCAGTTCAAGGAATGCCCCGCCCAGGCTAAGGAGGTCACCCAGGCCTCACTGACAGCTGCTATTTTACCTGTAGCCAGGAGAGGGAGCTCCTGCCTTCCAACGTCCCTCACCAGGCACTAAGCACCGGGCACCAGGCAGGGTACCATCACCTCTCACCTGATTGTCCTCACTCATGGTCAAGCACCATATTGCACGACCCCGCCCTCCATCATGCTGAGTCCAGGGGTTTTACCCACCCTATCTGGAGTCTCCCTGACCAGAACTATTTTACCCTACCCCCTCATGTTTCTCATTGTCCAGCCCCACATCGATTAAACTAAGCTCTCAACCCTTCAGGCCCCCATTTAGAGACCCCTGGGGCCCTTCCCAGACCTAGGCAGGTCAAGTCAGGATCCCTTTTGGGTTTTTGCTTGTTTGTTTTTTTGGTTTTTCAAGACAGAGTTTCTCTGTGGCTTTGAAGGGTGTCCTGGAACTCACTTTGTAGACCAAGCTGGCCTTGAACCCACAGAGATCCACCTGCCTCTGCCTCCCGAGTGCTGGGATTAAAGGCGTGTGCCACCAACGCCCGGCTCAGGATCCCTTTTGTAACTTCTGGGTATTCAGTGGTGTAGATCTGAAATTATCACCCAAAGGAGACCCCCCCCCCGCATGCTTTTTGAACGACTCAGGGAAGGGATGCCTGGACTGGGAAGGCTGCTGTGTCCGACTCAACACGGGGGCCACATCATAGGAACCAACTGAAGTCGTTACCACAGAGCCCCTGGTACCAGAGCGGGTGGTAGGTTCTCGGACTTTCTACTTCCCTGTCCTCCCAACAGCTGTGGGTGCCTACTGCTCGCACCCGCGTTACCGTCTCTCCACTCACAGGTCTGCTGTGGTGGTCCTGCAACTTCCAGAGAGGCTGGAAGCTGGAGCTTCGGGGCATGGGGCCAGAGAGCCTGAGGGAAGGCCGCGTCCCTGCCGAGACACCGTGGCTTTCCCTACGGCTTGCGCCCCACCGTTCTGAGCCCGGCCTGCACTGTGTCCTTAGTTGGAGGGACTGTGGTAGTTGGCTTCCTGTTCTCTCACTGTGGGCTTTCCCCAGGGCAGAGGTGAGTTCTCAGAGCTCTTGCTAATGCAATTTGTTCCATTTGCCGTTTTCTTGGGAACCAGGGCCCGCACAGATGTCCATAGGATGTAGCCGGGAAATGGGCTTTATGCAACTGTTGGCGGAGCTTCATTTGGCATCCCTGTGCCTCTACAGATTCGTCGGACTTTGGGCCACAGCTCCAGCTGCAGACAGCTGCCCACTTTCTCCTGGAACTCAGCTTCTGGGTTCCAAACCTACGAGGGACCTTACTATTCTGGTCCTTCAGTGATCCCCAACGAATTTGTCTGTCACGTAGGTGGGATTGCTATTTTTAGTAGCTAAGTTGTTGAGATGTTGGAAAGTCTCTGCTTCCTTTGGAACGGAAGGCTTCCAGAAGCATTTCTATCTTTGCTTCTGTGGAATTCAGGAGGTCATCTTTACCTAAGGAGAGTCAGCAAGTGTGTGGGAGGAGAAGGTTGTCTTGTGGGAAAGACGGGAATCAGTCAGCACTCATGTGCTGTCAGTGGGGGCGCGGAGGAGGGTGGGGAAGGGGTTGGGAGGTATGCAGATTCAGTGCCCAGTGTGGTGGCATTGGGAGGTGGTGACTTCTTGTTTGAGACAGGGTTTCTCTGCATCCCCCTGGCTGTCCTGGAATTTGCTATGTAGACCAGGCTGGCCTCAAACTCAAAGATCTGCTTGTCCCTGCCCTCTGAGTGCTGGTACCACCTGGCTTGTGGGTTTTGTTTTTTGAGACAGGGTCTGGTTTAGTCATTAGCTCAGACTGGTATTGAACTTACTATGTAACTGACCATGATCTTCAATACCCGATTCTCATGCTTCCACTTCAGTGGTGCTGGAACTGCAAGTGTCTCGCCATGCCTAATCCATGGCTGCA